CCTCATCTCAGAAATATAGACAGATACTGAAGGGCCGAAACGTTGTAATAAATATGGCGACAAAGATGAGGACAATAGTCCGAATAATACAAATAATGTACATAATACCTCATCTCAGAAATATAGACAGATTCTGTCATACAATTGCATTAAGAATTTTGCAGAATTATATGCATTTGTAATAGCGTTATATTGACATGGGTATGCATCTGAGTGATTAGCACGTTCGCTTTCATCCCCTGAGACCCGTGTTCTGATCTCACTACGGATAATTTGTCAGGAAAGTGACGATTTTATTGGCTTAAGGGAGGCGAACTTCTTCCCGTAGGGATAATAGCATAGCATTTATGTTAAAGTTTTGTCCGCCAATAATGTATTCTGATTGTTAATTTCTCTACTAGTGTACCCGTGTCGTCAAAATTGACGGCTGAAAGGAATATATTACAAGTAATATGTATTATATTGTAAGTAATTTTTGTTTAATCCAAGTACAATTTTGTAATTTAAAATAGTTAACGTTAATCCGGGTTTGATGACCAGTGTCTTCGTTTTTGGAGGAGTTTGTTCCTGTGATTTATTATTATTATCACTATAATAATAATAATAATATTACTTGTGTGCCCGTGCCGACAAGAGTGACGGCAAGAAGGAATATATTATAAGTAATCAGTGTAACCCGGATATAAGAGACCCGGATATAAGAGAAACCCGGATATAAGAGAGATTTTTTCTGGTCCCAAATTAGAGCCTGTGTTAATGTATATAAAATAGACTAAACCCGGATATAAGAGAAACCCGGATATAAGAGACTTCTCCGGTCCCGACAGCTCTCTAATATCCGGGTTACACTGTATTGTAATATAAGTAATTTTTGTTTAATCCAAGTACAATTTTGTAATTTAAAATATTTCCTTGTTAACGTTAATAATCGAAAAGTGTAAAATTTTTAAACACCTAAGGTAAGATATGCGTATATTTTCCTAATAAATGTTACAGATTTACAATCAATTTATTTTTACTGCTAAAGTTCGCAAAGCACAATTTTTGTGTAAACTTTGGAAACTTTGAGTAATCCTTGACAGTCCGTAGATTAAATCTGTAATTTCAGAGTCTGCTTATTTCTCGTCTTACGAAGAGAAACGTATCATCAGACATTTTTTAATTTATTACCACAAGATATGTTCCGAATCGTAACACAAAAACTACATTAAAACTATTTAATTATTTAATTGTATAAACTTTTAATTGCTATCATAAATAATATAAAGAAATGATATAGTGTGATTAAAAAAACAAAATCTTTCGATGACTAATGAATTATTACAAAAATTGTTCCACCTCCATTTCTTCTTTTTAATTATAATTTTAAAAGTTTAAAATGAATTTCTAAAAATGAATAAAGCATTCTTAAAGATATATATGGCGTATTATATATCACTATCTTTGATAGTGATATCAGTACGCATCAACAAGACCAAATTAACACGGCACTGGGTGGGTCATCGTTATTTTGCACAATGGCACTCAGTTGTTACACACACATAATATATATATATATATATATATATATATATATATATATATATATATATATATATACGTGTGTGTGTGTGTTCGCCGAAGAAAGGTCAAGAAATGAATTTGGGTTCAGTGGACATCAAAAATATGAACTAAGAAATAATAGGAAGCGAATTTGGGATCGCTTGACAACAAACAAAATGAACTTCTAAGAAAGGGAGTAAGAATCAGTTGACTACGTTTATGTGCCATACATCAACAAGTGGGATTTTGGTTTTGTAATTTTTAGTTTCCCGATGACATCCAACGAAAACAGTTCATGAAAAAAAATGTATGTGCGTGTGTGTGTATATATATATGTTTCCGTGTGTGTGTGGGTGTGTGTCCGTGTGTATGTGTGTGCGTGTCTGCGTGTGCCTGTGTGTGTATATATATATATATATGTGTATCCGTGTGTGGGTGGGTGTGTGTCCGTGTGTGTGTGCGTGCGTGTCTGCGTGTGTATATATATATATATATATATATATATATATATATATATATATATATATATATATATATATAAATATTGAAGTTAACACTCAGCGGCGACAGAATGTTCCATGCTAAACACAATCATGAAACAGCCTGTCTCCTCTGAGTGTTGAAGTCAGTGTTCACTTTTATATTTACATACCCTCTAACCTGATACACCAATAAATATTGCATAGCTTAGAACTATATTTCTTCATATATATATATATATATATAAATATATATATATATAACTTTTTTTTTATCAAACGTTTTAGTTTTTATCAAACGTTTTAGTATTGACAAGCTCCAGGGAATTCATCCCGGAGAGCGAAAATGGCCATAAAAATGGTGTACAATTGAGTTTCCCTTTAAGTAATTCATTGTTATATATATATATATATATATATATATATATATATATATATATATATATATATAAGTCTTTTATGGTACAAAATTTAACAATAGTTAGGAAAAGCAAAATTTGTATGCCATTTTTTTAAAAAGATAAAAGCGTGTAAATTAAATTAATATAACGCAAAGAATGGAAAAAAATGATTTCAAGAAAGTAGAATGCAATAAAATTCAGGCCCCGAAAGCATACACACTGCTTACAAAGGGAAGGCCCACGGGTTCTTATATATAAGGACTGTAAAACCTTGAGGTGAAATGTGGAGTGAGACCTAGATAAAATCAAAAAACGATCTCCACTAAAATTAACCACACATTTCCTACTATTTATTATATGCTCAGCAATAGCAGAGCCAGAACTATTGGTTAGTTGGCTTACCCACCAGCATTTGAAACCGGATGCCAGAAAAAGCCAAAGTAAACAATGCTTCTGGCTCTGCTATTGCTGAGCATGTAATAAATAGCAGGAATTATGCATTTGATTTTAGTGCGGAACTTTTTTTTATATTTTATCTAGGTCCCACTCCACACATCACCTCAAGGTTCGAGAGTCCTTGTATATCAAATCCCGTGGGCCTTCCCTTTGTAAACAAAGGGAATGCTTACTGGCTCTGAATGTTATCGGACTCTAATTTCTTGAAATTCATATATATGTTTTTCTCCTTCCATTCGTTATATTAATTCAATTTACAGGCTTATATATTTTTTATACCCCAGAAAAATAAACTTGATAAGTCCTGAGACGAAACCGGTTGTTTTTTTTTTTAGCTTTTTTAAAAAATGCCATGTAAATTTTGCTTTTTCCTATATATATATATATATATATATATATATATATACAAGTATAGGATTGATGTATACGGTATAAATTCCAATACCCAACAATTACTATTCTTAAAAGAGTGCCCAATACAGAGTAGAGAGAATATAATTATTTATTCCACAATTATAACATAAATATGTTATAAAATCACTACAAAAATAGCCATTTTGTTTCAACACCTCTGGTGTCTTATCAAGTGATGATGTTGAATGTATAATTTTCGAATAAATTATTATATATATATATATATATATATATATATATATATGTGAAAATTTCTCCGATTTAATCGGTAGAGAAGACAATATTTATGAAGAAAAATGACAATAGGAAAACTGGTAATTGACGCAGTCTAATGTGGACTTTATCAAAGCAAATTTTCATTTTCGTATTTTGCTTTGATAAAGTCCACATTGGACAAAACGCGCCAGCAATTACCAGTTTTTCTATTGTCATTTTTATTCATAAATATATATATATATATATATATATATATATATATATATATTATCATCGTCTCGGTGTTTATATGTTGAAGAAATCCGGTCAGAAAACGCATTACCCATATTAGAAGAATAGCGTTGAATTCAGATATAGCTGTATTAAGGACGGCTTCCGTCAATCTATATTGCCTTAGACACACCCGCTAACGTTGTTCTAGCTGCAGCACACATAGTACCTCGCAAAGTATTTACAGCGCATTATGCAATTTGCAACATTGTGTGCATGAATTTTCTGACGACTGTGTAAAATACGCCCTACGCCGTATTTAATTTTCTTGTTTCATAAGCTAGACTATGTGATACCCAGGCTTTGTTTCTGTCTGGGGTCTGTATCGTAAGACCGAGTTCGTTTGTGGTAGATTTCAAAACTGACGCCAATATTTATGCTGCAGGGGTCAAAGACAAAACGAAAAAAATCTCAAAGGTTTCAAAGACGTTTCGTAGCCTTATCGTCTTAATTAGAAAATTTCCCGGCCTAGCTGCTAACGTCGTCGCATCGTTGCAATAAAAACTAGTGGTTCGCTGTTCAATATGCAGTGAAAAGGGTTTGGAATGCTGATTTTTCAGGCAGGGCGCGTTAAACTTGTTAGGATTCTTCTCCTGATACAATGTTCCTACCCCACCCCCCACAAATCCCTACCCGGTCAACGATTTAAATTTGATTACGTAGAGATGAGTGAATATTAGGTCTGCTTGTGGGGCAGGGAGAAATTGGGTTCATCCCTTTCGGTCCAAAAATCTAGTAATGACCAGAATTCGAATGTTTTCTGTTTTCAGTTCTCTCTTTTCCTCTTATATATATATATATATATATATATATATATATATATATATATATATATATATATATATATATATATATATATATATATATATATATATATATATATATATATATATATATTTCCTTTTCACTCTCTTTGTTTCTCTCTTTCCATTTTTTTTCTCTCTCTTTCTTTCTTTTTCACTCTCTTTCTTTTCTTTATCATTGTTTCTCTATTTCCTTTTTACTCTCTCTCTTTCCTTTTCACTCTCTTTCTTTTCTTTATACACTCTCTCTTTTTTACACTCCCTTTCTTTCTTTTTCACTCTCGCTTTCCTTTTCACTCTCTTTCTTTTCTTTACACATTCTCTTTACTTTTTACCCTCTCTTTCTATCTCTCTCTTTCCTTTTCACTCTCGCTGTTTCTCTCTTTCCTTTTTACTCTCTCTCTCGCTTTCCTTTTCAGTCTCTTTCTTTTCTTTAAACTCTCTCTCTCTATTTTTTACCGTCTCTTTCTTTTTTTCTCTCTCTCTTTCCTTTTCACTCTCACTGTTTTTCTCTTTCCATTTTACCCTCTCTCTCTTTCCTTTTCACACTCTTTCTTTTCGTTAAACTCTCTCTCTATTTTTACCCTCTCTTTCTTTCTTTTTCTCTCTCTCCGTCCTTTTCACTCTCGCTGTTTCTCTCTTTCCTTTTTACTCACTCTTTTCTTCAACTGTCTTTTTTATACACTCTCTCTATTTTTTACCCTTTCTTTTTTCTTTTCTCTCTCTCTTTCCTTTTCACTCTCGTTGTTTCTCTCTTTCTTTTTTACTCTCTCTCGCTTTCCTTTTCTTTGACCAGGTATTTAAATACATCGTTTCAGCCGTTGTACGCTCCGGATTTCTTCGGATAGTTGGAATGTCTAACTGAACCCTTTATTTCGCTCACTGGGGTAGACTGTTCTAGTTCCACGTGCCATGTCTAATGGATGTCAGTTATCAGTTATCTCCTGTTAATCCCCCTCTCCAAGTTCTTCACTGCCTTAACCAGGTATTGAACTCACGCTCTCTGGGTCCTGTCACTGGATCTAACTAACGCCTATATCCACTGCGCCATGTGTCATTGAGTTCAATATCTGGTTAAGGCGGTGGAGAACTTGGATATGGGAATTAACAAGAGATAACTGATAACTGACATCCAACAGGCATGACACGTGGAACTAGAACAGTAGTCCAGCGAGCGAAATAAAGGGTCCAGTTCGATATTCCAACTACCAGAAGAAGGCCGGAGCGTACAACGGCTGAAACGTTGTGATAAATATGGCAAGAAAAACGAGGATGATAATCCGAGTAATGTAAATGGTGAGGAATGTGGGCTTTGAAAATCTGATGGCCACAGGACAGTGAGAGATAATTAGGGACAAAGGAAAACAACGCATACCTAAAGAAGTAGATTAAATGGATGGTGGAAGGAATTGCAGAAAGACAAAGTTTATTAAGAGCCAGAAGGGATGGGAAGTTATACAGAGCCATGATCGCCTACGTCCTGAAGGGAGACGGTGCGTAAAGAAGAATATAGTATAAGTGAACCTTTCTGTTACCATATTCTTTAAATCTTCCTTGTTGCTTATTCTGTCTATAGAATTCTCAGTATGCTCCTGTAGAACAACTTTTTTGAGGTCTCTAGGATGTTTTTTTCTCATCCGTGAGAAGATTGTCCAATATTGACTACCACATAAGTAGATGGACATCAAATAGCAATCCAGCATTTTTTTTCTTTGTTTCAACTGCATTTTTCTTCATTTCTCCAGAACCTTGCGTAGCTTTTGGAATGCTTCTTTCGCTAGTCCAATGTATACTTCGGATCTCGGTGCCACTCTGTAAAAACGCTTCTCAGATATTTAAACTTCTGTGCCTGCTTGATGTTTATATTTCCAATTCGTAACTCTCATCCCTGTCTTTTTCTCTTGCTGACGACAATATTTTCTGCCCTCAATACAGTTGATGGTTAATCATTTATTTTTCGCACTTTCTTCTAGGGCCCTGTCTAGGACGTCCTGTAGTTACAATTTTGGAGTCGGCTATCAACAGGGTATTTAACCAATTTCTCTCTACAAGGCGGGATGTGGCACAAGTTCTGAATTTTTTTTTTTACGTGGGGCATTGCGGGACCTTAGTCTCGGGCAAAAATTCCACGAAGACCCCGTAATAAAAGGGTCGGGTTTGTCTAATTCTCTAAATGTGATTCTGCCCTTCGGCATAGCCTCGTCTGTGTTCCTCCCCGGCTGAAGGCAGAAGGTTCGACAATCTGGGTATTCTCAAACCCAAAGGTTTGTGAACTTTGGAATTGGCCAGCAACACAATGTGATCACCACAGCTTATATTGTTAACATTATGCTTATTGATGAGAATAGGTTGCGTCTTCAGTTTGCTTCAGATAATGTAGATGAAGAATCAATCCGCGGAGAAGACACATGCTTATTGTTGTTGACTGGCTCACTAGTACATCACTGTACCCAAAATTGGGGGTTTGTTAGAATTTTGGGGTACAGTGATGTACTAGTGAGCCAGTCAAAATGAGCTGACTCATTTTATAGTTCACCAATAGAAGGGTTAACCAATCAGAAAGCTCAAAATATTCAATCCGACGTGTATAAAGGCAGCCATTTTGTTTTTTCTCCCAAAATAGCTCCACTGCCAACCTGATATCGAAGACTTAAAGAATTAACAGCCGCTACTTTCTCCGAATCTACATTGCCAACCTCTGATATTGAAGAGATTACGGACTTCACTGGATTCCATATATTCAGAGACAACGGCAAACATGGTCAACACTTATCTCACAACCTTTTCTTTTTGTTTGTAGCTACTCAATCAGAATCATTTTTTTGTCAATTTTAATAGTCGTCCACATATGTATATTATTATCTCGTCCTCTCTCTCTCTCATATATATATATATATATATATATATATATATATATATATATATATATATAAAATATGTGGTGCAGTTCAATTTATAAGGATCATTCATACAAAAAAGTAGATTAATGATATAAATGGCGAAATCCTTTTGCAAACAAAATTTTAAAGTTGCATTGAACTACGAACCACTCGATGAATCTTATGATCCTTGTTTTTAATAATTATAAGCTATACAGGTCTTTTTTTAATACGCAAGTACTTTCAACTGTACATTCAGTCATCCCCAGGCATGGAGATTATTTTGATTTTAGTAAAATCCAGGTAGCATCCTAGACGAAAAAATTAAATGCGAATCGAAACAGGTTTTTTTTTTTTTTTTTTTAGAAATGTGTTATTGTTAACGGATACAAACTTTTGGAGCGTGCTGTCGCAAAGCTAATGTTGAATTTTTTGAAAATTTAAGAGAGTGCCTCTTTTACTAATATGGTAATATGAGAATTTTTTTGTTGTAGTTAAGGATACGAAACTCATTTATATCATTACCTTTATTAATCTACTTTTTGTATGAATGATTCATTGCAATCTATATTGAACTGCACCACATATTTGATTTAAAAGAACTGATCCGACGTGTAAAATTTCGGGATAACAACTGAGACATTACTCTATTTATTGAACAATTTAGTTCATGACAATTTACTTCATGCTACATTGACTCATAAACTCCTGCAGATGTCTATTCACAGCGAAACTGGATGTGGAAGTGAATGTGAATGACTATATATATATATATATATATATATATATATATATATATATATATAGCACAATCAGTGATAGCGCGTGTGTAGATATAAGTATATAGAGAGATATATAGTTAGAGATTATAGGAGTTTATGAAGCCATATATAAGGATTTAATTTTGTAACACGTATTTATAAACAACGGTAAGACGGTCTCTAATTTTATATTTTTATTTTACAAAAAAAAAAATCATAAACTTGTTTATGAGGCATTTAAAATCACATCAATTACATCACTTAGCACCCTCCATAGTTTTATTAAATATGAAATTACATCACTTAGCATCCTCTATATTATACCTTATTAAATATAAAATTACATCACTTAGCATCTTCCATAGTTTAAGTTATTTAATATGAAATTACATCACTTAGCATCCTCCATAGTTCATCTTAATCAATATTTAAGTACATCACTTGGCTTCCTTCATAGTTTACCTTAATTAAACTGAAATTACATCATTTACCATCCTCCATATTTTACCTTATTAAATATGAAATTACATCACTTAGCATCTTCCATAGTTCACCTTATTCAATATAAAATTACATCACTTAGCATCCTTCATCGTATACCTTATTAAATACGAAATTAAATCACTTAGCATCCTCTATAGTTTACCTTATTAAATATGAAATTACATCACTTAGCATCCTCCATAGTTTACCTTATTAAATACGAAATTTCATCACTTAGCATCCTCCATAGTTTACCTTATTAAATATAAAATTACATCACTTAGCACCCTCCATAGTTTTCCTCGGCTTTTCTTTTAGCCAGATATGTATTTATGAGAGTTCTTAGATTTAAAAACTTTGAAAAACTAACCACATTTTTAATTTTCTTTATCAATACCTGTTGAAAATTACAGATATATAGTTACATAAACATCAAGACGGAGTTATCCTTCTGCCTTTCAGGACGTATGCGATCATGGCTCTCCACGCCCTCCTATCCGTTTGCAGCTCTCAACAAGTTCCGTACCTCTGCCACCTCCCCTAGACCATGTTCTGTCACCCACTTGCTTAAGCCCACCAGATATGTCATGCGTTGCTTTCTCTTGTCTCTCTTTCTCTCTATTCGACCTGTGAGTATCAGATTCTCCAGACACTTCATCTCTTCCTGATGTTAAATATTCCCCTTGTTTGCATCCTCTCCAAGACCTCATCGGTCTATAATATCCTCAGTATCCTTCTGCAGGTCCATGATATCCTCAGCATCCTTCTGCAGAACCAGATCTCCGTTGCCTTGAGTCTCTTCTTCATCTTTAAGGAGACCGTCCAAAATCCCCCTGTCTTGTAATTCTCTGTCTAGCTTTTGGAATGTGTCCTTGGCCATCCCAATACGTCTTCGAAACACAGCGTCTCACTTGCTGTCCTCTGTCAAAGCACTTCCCAGATATTTAAACTTCCACACCTGATTGATTTTAGTGTTCCCGACCTGCAAATCGCATTTCGGGGTCATCCTTTTACTGATGACCATGCATTCTGTCTTCTTGTAGTTTATGCTTAGTCCCTTCTTATTGCTCTCCTTCGCTACCTTTTGTAGAAGTTTATGTAATTTCTTTTCCCTTTTTGCTATCAGTATTGCGTCATCTGCTATCTTGCACATTTACAAAACATTGAGGAGACCGTCCAACATTCGCTGCCGTAAAGGAGGACAGATGTCACGTAACAGCTCAGTACTTTTTTTCTTTATTACCAAAGAAATCCTCCTGTCTCGTAATATCATGCTCAGCTTTTGAAATGTGTCCTTGGCCATCCCAATACATCTACGGATCTCAGTGTCGCATTTAACGTCCTCTTTCAAAACACTTCCCAGATATTTAAACTTCTGCGTCTGCATGATTCTTGTGTTCCTGACCTGCAAATTGTATTTAGGGTTCATATCTTGTCTTGTAGTTTATGCTTAGTCCTTTCTTCTCGCTCTCCTTCGCTACCTTCTGTAGGAGGTTTTGTAATTTCTTTTCCGTGTTTGCTATCAGCACTGTGTCATACAATAACTAATCAGACATTCATTCAGCTTGAAATTTCAGATAATACGGTGAAATTTTGTATAGCTTAATGTTCGAATCGATAGAAATGATTTCTTAAAAAGGTTCACTTTTCTCTATGACGCGATTCCATA